AAAAAAACATGTGGTTATTTTTAGTAACTTAATACATTTAAAATGTTATTTTACTCTTAAATTGTCACTTTAAATTACAAAGTTACAAATGAATTCATTTTGCTTTTTGTAAGTATCTTATAAATGTGAGCAGCTGCTGGAACATTTTAACCCTGAACTTTAGCTCCGTCAGGCAGCTAACTGTTAGCTCTGTACGAACTTGGCTAGCTGCTTTCTGGGTGGTTATTACTAATGAACAGACTCACCCGCAGCAAACAGGGTTTAAAAGTCCGCAGACATAAATAGTAAGTCCCAAACAGCCTGTGTGGCTGTGTGTGGTCACAAAACCTTTGGCTTGGTGTTAAAAAGCAGTTTTGTTCTCAGCTGCAGCTAGCCGCGCTAACGGGCGCCTAAACTGAGTTACCTGGGCCGCCATGACTCTCTGTCTCTCCGCGATCAGTTTGCATTTGGGACACTGGCAGTCCCTCCAGTTGCAAAAGCGCTTGTGTCCCTTCAGTGGAGACACGTATCCGTGATTTCTACAGCGGGAGCACTTGGGCATCCTGGGGGATTTCTTGGCTTTGGGGGACATCGGTCCGCTGCAATCCGGTACCTGCTTACTCTGTTTGTCCTGGCTCATGGGTCCTGGCAATAAGGAGTGCTGATAACTGTTGGACCTGCCCAGAGAAGACGTGTGCACACGGACAGGTCTGCTGCTGAGCCCAAGCAGAGGCTGGCTGATAAGATATACACTGGTGCCAGGCTGGAGGCTGTAAGGTCCCTGTCCCTCCACACCCTGCTTTTTGGTTTTTTTCCGGAAGGCCTGGGATCCAGTGGGAGGAAACAATGCGGGGGAGAGAGCTGGAAGCACAGAAGCATCATTCTGCAGGCCTCCCGTTTTACTCTCTCCAGTCACGAGTTAAAAATATTGACTCAAAAACAAAAACTCAATACAATTCTTCTTATGAGGTGCAGGGACCAGAAAAGTGTCCTCAGAGGCCACCTGATGGCTTTGCAGAGTGAAAAACGGACGACGGCATACTCTTTGGACTTTAACTCAGTCTGTGCCAGCTTTGCAGTCTGAAGGACCAACGCGTGGGCCAAGTAGGTAACAGAATATAACCGTGACTCTGTGTTATAATCTGAAGATTTAACTTAACTACGGTTCATGCCAATTATCCCCCAAATTAAATACAGGAAATTGTTCTGCCTGTCAAATTAAAATAACTATTACTATTAGTGTAATATTCTTTATAGTATCTTCCCACTGAAACATATTTATTGCAGTGTTTTTCCCACCTTGGCTGCCGGTGAATTAATTAATTGCTCAGCTTGACTGAGCTGAGACTGAGCTGAAACTGAGCTGACCTCCGCACCGTCAGTCAGCCCGGTGGATTTATAGACAGGGAGTGAGGTGAAGCTCAGAGGCAGCCAATTAAAATCCTTACAGCCAAACGGAGGGGGGATAAAACAAAGTTGCCAATTAAAAAGCAGCCCCGAATCACTGAGTCAAAATAAATAGCTGCTACACTTCACTGGCTCAGGTCCTAAAGTAACTGAAAGCAGGGCTGCAACACTGCGTTTAATTGCCTCTAAAGGTTATAATGACAGATTATAATGCAGTGATAAAGTCTGCAGTTTAATGCAGGTAACATCTCCATTAGTCTGAATCCAGTCCAAGCAGGCCTGTAAAACACAGCAGACCAACATGGAAAACGTATGTGCCTATCATCCACCGCTTTATAATAAATATGAATAAATGCTGCCTCACAGCAGCTCAGAGAGAGACACTTATTTTGAAATGATCATCAGTGTAAAATGAACAGTAGAGCCAATAAAAGCCAACTATGTAATCCAGCCCCCACAATGATTTATGCTTTAAACTGAGTATACGATGCAACAAGAAGTAGGTATGAAGCTGGCTTTGATTACCTGTAGTTAGGTGTCAGACCTTCTTTTTGCAATGGTCTGTAGAGGTTTGTTTGCATTGATGAAGCAGTGAAATGAAATGATGGCCACGCAAATAACCTTGTCTTTATATATTTAATTTACCTGGGTGGACACAAAGAGATGTCAAAACCAATTTGTGCCACTGAAAGTGAAAGCATATAAAGACTTTCTTTCATTTTCGACACTTTAGTCTCTGAAATGTTTGCGAAGCTTTCCGTGTGTAGTTCAAATGCTGCTTCACTGTTATTATGTATTATATTGATATTTTCCCCCGTTGATACCTTTTAGCTACAACCACGAACTCAGTCTTCAGTTTCTTTTGTACTCTCTATGCGCCAGTGTCTTTTTTCTTGTCTTTTCTTTCTTATTTTCTATGCATTTAGTTCTATTTGTGATTGCACATTAACTGAATTTTAAGGGAAAATGATGGCATTTTAACAGAATAGAAAGATATATTAGCTCTGCCACGTTTAAAAGGCATGAAAGTCTTTTATCCCAGCACGGTATGTATTAAATTGTTATCAAGAAAGTTTAAATCTCAGTCAATTCACAATCACGAATCAGGTTAAAGAAGAAGTCATGACCGTTTCCGAGAAGTCACTGAAGGCAGCATTGCCTAGCAACGGTGCCGTTTAGTTTCTCGCGCCGGGCTATCGGCGGAAACTTTAGCTAACTTTCTGTGAGACACAATGCCCAGAAAGACGGAGAGAAAAGGCAGCGACAAACGAGATGGAAACAAGAAGACCCCGAAAAAGGAAAACTCCGAGTTTCCTGCAGAGAAAAGCGGGTCTGCGGACAAAGAGAAGGACCTCTACCTGACACAGATAGCGTATTTAACCGACGAGCTGGAGCGGTGAGCCGTTTAAGTTTACCGTAATGTTTAGAGTGATTGTGTGTGCAGTAAAAAGCACTTTGTAATGATATCTTAAATATGTTTTATTTGCTAACTCGATCTAATGTTGCATTAGCATAATGGAGGCTGAATTTACAAAGCTTCATTGAAATGAACTGATTTTACAAGCTACAGTGAGACGCTTCATTCTTTGGTGCGCTCAGATAATAACTAAGGACAATAATGTTTTATTTTTCCTCCCAAAATACCCCATCTTGGGTGGGAAGGCAAGCAAATTCTCTTAAAATGCCATTAAACATGTACTTACACTCTGCACAGCCAAAACAATTAAAGAAAGAAACAAATGATCCCATAGTCCGAAATATGATTGAAGTTTGGTTTACAATAAAAGAAATGATGAATATTAAGAATAATCTCTCTCAGTTTAGTCCTATTTGGGGGAATGCTTCATTTGCACCAGGAAATTTGGACGCAGGGTTCCAGGGTTGGGCAGAAAAAGGTGTTAGGAAAGTGGGTGATCTTTTCTGTGATGGAATAATGGTCTCATTTGAGGATTTAGTTTCAAAAGTATTTACAGATTAGAAGCTTCATTTCTTCCATGCAAAATCAGTCTCTCAACGTTCCCCAGTTAAGTAAGTTAGAGGAGTTAATGGTGGGAAAAGGTGGTAATAAAGGCTTAATTTCAACATTCTATAACTGGATTGTCTCTGCCTCTCCAGAAACATCAGTTTCTAAGTTAGAAGCTTGGAGAAAGGACCTAAATATTAATATTTCTGAGGAGACATGGAAGCCAATTTGCTTAAAATCACAAAAACAATCGATTAACCTAAAGTTATTACAATATAATTGGATCATGCAAACATATGTAACACTGGTGAAATTGAACAAATATAATAACAGAATTCCAGATACATGTTTTAAATGTGGAGAAGCCCGTGGAACATTTTTCCATTTTGGATGAGGGGAAAATTGTTTAGTCTGTGCTAGCTGTTTCTATTGTCTATTTTTTTTCTCTTTCTTTTTTGTTTCCTTCAATATGTATAAATGTCACAAATGTACATATTCTATGTGTTTTTTATTTGATGTAAGTTTGGAAGAGAGCAGGGGGGGAGGTGAGGGGGGAGGGTTCCTATTACTGCAGCATATTACTGGGAAAACAAACCTTTGTATGCTGTTGCAAAAAGCAATAAAAATTATTAAAAAAAGAAAAGAAAGTAAATTGAAGTGTGAGACTCATGTTTCTCACACTGCTTTGTGGTGACTTTGAAACTAACCAAGGTTCAAAAGAATATTAAAGTATTTCAGGCAAGTTGATTGTCTTGTGTCAGTAATTTTAGGTGCTTACTGTCAGAATTTTCTCAAAAGAAAAGAAAATTAAGTGTTGAAAGTGTCTGTTTGTTTTTCAAGTATTGGAAACTTGCTTTTTCTAAAAAAAAAAAAAAGTTCATTTGGATTTGGTACATGTCACACTGGGAATATTTTTTAGAGTTTTCTAGCTTTAATATCTGTCAAAACATTCCCCTGATGTGGCCTGTTTTAAAGATATTTTGTATTTGAGAAGCTGGAAATAAAATATCACTCTCACACCTGCAAAACTGTGGTTTCTACAGGCCTCGAGACCTTCACATATTTATTTGTTTCAGGCATCCATCGGTCTGAGTGAGCTTGAGGTCACTCAGACAGTGCCTGCTCTGCTCGAGCTGTAGAGCTGCTTCTAATCCAGAAAAGGCCAGATGCAGTTTATAAATCGTTGAAGCTGTCATCCTTAACCCCTCAGATATCAGCTGAAATGCGATGACCTTGTGAGACAGAGGAAAGACTTGCTGACTCAGCGCAGCACACTGGAGCAGGAGAACAGAGACACGATCGCGTACCTGAAGCGTTTCCTGTTGGAGAAGGAGGACGAGGTGGGCGAGCTGTCGCAGCGGCTGCAGAACCAGCTGCAGGCTTCAGATCAGGAAAGAGACGCCCTGCAGCTGCGGCACAGCCGGGAGAGGCAGGAGCTTCAGAACCGCATCGATGAGCTTATCAAAGAAAACACAGCACTCGGTAAAAGTTCAGCTCTTAGCATGTAGCCCATCAGAGTTTACCACAGGGTATCCACATAAACATCAAAGTGATGGTAGGGATTCGATTTTTAAAATAATAATAAGGATTTTTTTTTTAAATAAAAGATGAAATTTCTAGATCTTCCTCCCTTTTCAGTTCAGTTCATTTTTATTTCAAACATATTCTTTCACAATCATTACAAAATATCACTGCATTCTTTTGATTGAATGTTTTACGTGTAACTAATTTTAATGGCATCTGGTCAAACGACTGGTATGAGTTCAGTTTATACAGAGACATATTTTCCTCAATAATTAATTATTTGAATAAATAAACCTTTGATTTTATACATTTCAGATGGATTTTACTGCAAAGTATTTGTTCATATTTATGAGGGCGGTGTGTGTGTCTGTGTAGCATTAATAAAGCTCTGTGGGGGAATCTTAATGATTACATTATTTGGAATCTCGTGATATTTTAAATATGTTAAATTAAATATGTCTTTGCATTTCAGGAGAATATACATTTTCCATTTAACTTTCTGAAGCCTGTTCTTAAACATTAGTTTAATGTTGTATCATAACCATGAAGTGTCTGCCACAAGAATTCAAATGTGGGAACTCAAAAGTTTTCCTTCCAATTAAAGCCTTTTTGTTTTGTCTCAAATATAGAAATTAATACTAAAATTTAAAAAAGGGTTTTACTTTTGGAAAGGCTGAAAAGAACTGACAGTGATTTGCTGGACGAGGCCTCGATCAGCCTCTCCCTGCCAAAGATGTTAAAAGGAGCTCAGCTTTATAGTATTCCTATATTTATAGTATTCCTTGAAAATCCAGCCCAGATTTCTTTTGGATGCAAGTGTTTCCAGCAGGAACCATTAAACTTTCAGGAGGTTTATTTCAGCAAAGACTGGCTTCAGGGAATGATTTAAACTCTCCTCTTCTCTCCTCCAGCAGAGAGGTTTGCAAGCCTGGAGGCGTTTCAGGGGCAAAAGGAGGAGATGATGTCCAGCTTAGTGTCTCTGGAGAAG